TTTATTTTGATACTATCTCCAGCCAGTTTCAGGCAGTAAAGTTAAACAAGCCCTTGGTAGCTCAGTGGGACAGCGTGGCTGTTATGCTGGGATGCAAAGCAGGGCTGGAGTCCTCTGGGCAGTGCCCTGTGCTGCCCCGTGGGCAGGCTGCTGCCTAGGAGGAGGTGTCTGGGGCTTGACTTTGGGGTGCAGTAATTTCCCTGTGGCTCTAGAAGGGACAGGAGACAGAGAAGCATGCCCTGGGGCAGCTGGGGTCAGGGATGCTCAGCTAAGAGTGGGATGCTGCATGGCAGAGAAGACCAAACTCTGGGTAGAGAGCAAACAAGGAGCCTGACTGCAGTGTGGTGGTTGATACTCAGTTGGGAAAGGGGAGTGAGATGCATATCCAGATTATGCTTTATAAATAAATAAATAAAATTATTTAGAGAGAGAGAGAGTAGACCCTGTGGCAGTCGTGTATTTCCTTATTCAGTCTTTTTGATCCTGTCATACATCTTGTACTGGGATAATTAATTTGCCTCACTAGATCTTTCAAAAAATGAATGCCCATACAAAGGTGGTAGAGCATTTCTTCCCACCTCTGCTTTATGACCCTGTTAACTATTCTGTTCTCCCTGTTAAAATTTTTATATCTATGTGTATGTTCTTAACCTTTTCTATGTTGAAAGTGTCTTCAAATTTTATCAAAATCTTCCTAATTAGTGAAAATATTAAATGTAACCATGCTTAAATAAGTCATTGAACTTCATATAGACCAATAGTTCAGCTGTCAGCAGAGTCTGTTGACATTTCCCCATGCCAGTTTCTTTTCCACCTTTTAATTGTAAGTTCCATTTTCTGCACTTCAGCTGGTGAATCTCTGGCATAGCAACATTTGCTTTACTGTATTCTGGTAAAATTTAATCTTGTCTAATTTGCAGTTGATAAATCCATGTAGTGCTTTATCCATTTCCTCCCCCCCTCCCCCGCCCCTTGTATTTCTGCAGCTTTGCACTTTATTATATCAACCTTTGAATGATTCTGTGGTTGTCAGACTTGCTCTACTATTTAACTGTCTTTTGCAAACAGATCAAAGCTGGGTTTTTCATGCTCCAGCCTAAGCAAATATCCATAATGTGACAGTTTAAGATTAAAATCTTAGCATCTTGACACGTTATTTGTATTGGTTCTGAGCAGGTGATGAGTCAGGTCCCCTGTCATTAAAATATTTAATGTTCTTTCAAGTTTTTCCTGAGATGAAATGGGATGTGGTGGTTTTCATTTCTCTCAGCAGTGCCTGTGTGCTTCTCCTTACTGATGACAACTGAGCTAAGGTGTTAATGTGTCTTCTAAGTCATGCCTACGCTGTCTTCTGCCTTTACCATATTATGGCTTCTGAGCATTGTCGCAGTCTGTATCCTGTCCTATTACTTCTTAAAGAGGTTAAGGAACCTCTCTTTTCCCTGCATTCTTTAACTCTTTTTTGTAGGGATTTTCAGCAATTTGTGGCTTATACTTTCAGACCAACAAATGTAGCTTTTTTTTAATGGACCCTTTAAACTCATTTTAGTCCTCCTGTTTCTTTTCTGTAGTGGGATGAAGAATTTACTTGTGAATAATGTGAATTAAGAGAAAAGCGAGTGGAACACACATTTTATAGCATTGAGTAGACATCATCTGAAACATTTTGAAATGGGTGGAGAAGCTTCCATTTATTTCAGTGACTTCCTGATCAACTCACACCAGCAGTAGGAAGTGGGAACATACTTATGATTGTTTTACTGTAAGGTTATAAAAGTTAGCATAATAAGAAATACACCAGAAATTTTTCATAGAGGAAATAAAGGAAGCTCAGTGTCTTATGTGGTGAAAATGGAGGGCTTTCTGTTATACTGTCAGGTTCTGTTATTTATTGTGAAGGGTAAGTTCACAAGTTCAGTCTCGTGCATAGTTTTTTCAAAACACTTTCAGAAGAGTTATTTGAGAGAAATGTGACAAACTGAAAAACGATATGCTATGGTAGACTTTAAAAGGAGTGAAGGCTTATTCCAAGTATGTCTGCATAAGTTGGCGGAACGTTAATAACAATATACAGAAGTAAGTGACTTTCTTTCCCTTGAAAAAGTACCTTTGGCATTGGGGAAGATACCTACAGGAAATACGATCTGCTGATCAAGAGTAAGATTTTTATCTAGAAGTGTTGTAAAAAGTTCTAATGCCCTATGAACTTTTTTATATGGTACAAAGCAAGTGTACTTACAAAGTAATGACAGAGATTAAATTAAACAGTGGATTTTTTAAATGTCTTTTTATGAAAGAAGTGTCGGTTTCTGGGCCAACATAGAATAAAACTGATCAGCTATACTGCCTGTTTTCTTATGTTATTCTTTAAAACCAGGTACCTGTTTTGTTTCTGTGATTTATCAATTATTCTAAAAGTCTTAACCTAAGTTTAATTTCGTAATTTTTGAAATAAGACTGAGGCTCATTTGTTTACAAACAGATTGTTAACCACTCTTGATTCTCTTACATTAGGTAAAGTTCTCTGCTCAACTGCATTAAAAAAACATCAGAATGAAGAAATATGATCGTGAAGTCCTCATGCTAACTAAGGCTCTTACTAAGACTCATAATCCTGAGTATTGAATCATTTGAAAAATCCCTTTTTCAAGTTATTTTCCCATCCCAGGAAATTTAAAAACAAACAAACAAACCCAAAACCTGTTACTTAAAGGGCAAGTGAAAAGTTTGATTAGGAGATACCCTGCGTATTCTGTCTGAGAGTTATTAAGTTATCTGAGGCTCCAGTTTGGGTTCGAAGCTAGGATTACATCACGTACCATGCAGTACGTTGTGTTTTAGCCATTGCATTGCTGTAGAGGGAGAATGTGAAATAAAAACTATGAACAGAAAGTAGTTTGGGGGCTTTTGACCTTTGATGTGACTGTGGAAAACGATGTTGAAATAAAATCTATCCAGCTCTGTTTAGGGAAATATGGGATTTGAATGGATGGATTCATTCTGATGGAGGGATGGGATCCAAACCCTGGTGCCTCTTGGAGCTCAATCAGCCAGGATGCAGCATAGTCTGCCTTTGGTCTAGCCAAGCTTTTGAAAATGTGCGAGACGTGATGCCTGAACAGTAGGCCTACTGAAGTCTCAGCAGGCTTTTCGATTAGGAACCAAGTCTCAAATTAGAAAGCTCTGAATTAAATAGATGAATGTTGAAAGTGACTAAAAAAATTTCATCTTGGTATTCAAGTGGAACAGAAAGTGTCTTAAGAACATGGACAGATGAAGGGAGATCTGGAGAAAATAATACTGCTGGCACCTTTCTCATTCAGCTGCTTGAAAGTATCCCGTCCTTAATAATAAGCCCAGAGAGCTAGATGAGCTCTCTCTACTGCCTTTCCCAGCCTTTTCCTGAAAGAGCTTTTCTCCAGTCACCCTCTCTAGCTGGTTTTAAATAATGAATGAGTAGGTTGACAACTTAGTTTCATGTGATTTTAGAGAAATTTATCAAAGTCAGGTTGTATCTGAAATATGCTAGTAGTTGAGTAGATTCATATAAATTGTGTTGGATAGTGCAGCACGTTGTGGTCTTCACCTGCACTTGCGGTGGGGCTCTGGCAGGTTAAAACTGCCTGGCTTCTGTCTGGAGGACCTGCCAGAGAGTGGTCATTGGTGCTTTGTGTTGGTGAGGGTACTGCAGATAGCTCTTGTGTTTCAGGTCCTTGCTGAAGACTTCCAACAGATCACTTGCAAGGCTATAGAAAAAGTACTTTCTATCTCACGGACTTGGGAACAAGACTGTCAGTGTTTCATTTGAATATCTGAGCTCATTTAGCTAATTCAGAGTGGGAAACAGTATAAAGTATTATTCTTAGTTACACTACCATAGAACCGAAGGATGTCTTTAAGGTCCTGTGATTCACTGAAAGGGTGGTCGGTCGCTGGAACAGGCTCCCCAGGGAAGTGATGACGGCACCAAGCCTGTCATAGTGCAAGTAGTGTCTGGACAATGCTCTTAGTCATATGGTTTCATTTTAGGTAGTCCTGTGAGAAGCAGGGAGTTGGACTTGATCGTCCTTGTAGGTCACTTCCAACTTGACATATTCAATGATTCTACGATTTTGGACAGGAGGATAGGTGAAACCCATTTTTTATACTTAGATTAGCATGGAAACCAGCTTAAGAGGTGGAATCAATGCTTGCAGGAAAAAACATTCATAATCAGTCATCCCGAAATCTTGTTTGTTGTTAAATTATATAGCAGTCTTTCACTCTAATTGCATTGACCTTTTCTGAATGGAAGTGCAAACTCCCCTACAGTCTGTTGGTTGTACCTGTAAGGCAAATGTTGTGTTTTTCCAAGTAGAAGAGGCTTGTAGTGAGACCTCAGCCCGACTTGGTTGGTTCCCAGCAGCTGTGAAGTGCTGAACAGTCACTGCCTGTGTTACACCGAGAACCACAGAACTGTGCTAAACTGCAGATTAGCTGAAGTGTTACCAGGATTTTACCCATCCTATGACAACTGGAGGACTGACCCATATATATATGGGGGTTTTTTTAGATGAATTAGATTTGATGAAGTGACAACATGCAGGTATATGCAACTATGTGAAAACAGTATTGCGCTCTTTCTTAAAGCTAATGAGTGATACTGCTGTGAGTGGGGACGCTTGTGTAATATGTATTTGAATGTATATTGTATTGTTACATGTATAGCTGTTGATGCTGAAGGAAGTGTTATGTATTGCTGTTTTGCAGCTTCCCTGCCTCTCTCTTTCCATGCTCAAGTCAGTTGGTGGCTTGAGTTCTGTCTACTTTGGCCCTTGAGTAAGGTGATGTAAGCAGGAAATGTTGAAACTGCTTGCTAAGCTCAGACAGAAGACGTCGCTCTGCTCACTGACACGATATGTTGAATGATGAAAAGTTACAGCGTTACCTGTCGCAGCTATTTTTCTTCCTAGGATCACTATGGGGTAGTATTACTGACTTAGGTTTGCATCTGTTTGCAGGAATCTCGGTGGCCTTATTTATTTGGAGCAGTAATTGTTCCTTCATTGGTTCAAGTCATGATTCTGCCTTTTCTTCCTGAAAGTCCTCGTTACCTCCTACTTGAAAAACATGACACGAGCAAGGCAGAAAAAGGTATGGTGTGTTACTTTCTTGCAACAAGAAGTGTTTATTGTAGGGATGCAGGCTGGAAAGTAATTTTGATATCACAGTAAAAGCAGAATATTCCGATAGAAGAGGTTCTCTTGGTGATTATTCTTCCCTCACCTTTTTTATTTGTCTGTGTGTGCGTAAATATAACTGTTGTTTTGCTTTTTTTTCATAAATTAAATTCTCCAACAAACTAACCTGTGTAGCATTATGCATGGTGATACAAATCTAACCAATTCATCCTGCTGCGGTGTGTCAGCCACTGTATGCAGGGTTTATTCAGGGATGAAAGGTGGTTTCAGCCTTTATGACTCTCCCTTGTCTACAGTCTGCAGTTTGGCTAACAAAAACACTGATTCTGTTGCTGGATTTTGTTCAGTAGTCGCTGTGTTTGACCCTGTGCTTCTGTGACTCAATAACCTCTGTAGATCTAACAAAAACCTCATATGCCTATTTAACTGAAAATTTTCAGTGCTTCCATGTAGCTTGCTTTAGTTTCACAAACACAGGCCAGAATAATTTGTTCTTACTTTAGATTTTATGTATAAAAGAATTTGCTTGTGTGATCACAGCTGCTGTATTCTCTGCCCCAGGGAAATTACTATGGTCAGTTGTAAGGTCCAATGTATCATCACGTTATGGCTCAGAGAATGTTGAAAATTTGGTTTTGCTTACTGTAGGGACACATTAAAAACAGGAGCGTACAAAGAAGGAAGAAGTCTGATCATAATACCAAAATGTTTGCAGAACTTAGCTGCTTTAAAAATTATTCCTAAAAACTTCATTTGAATATAACCCTGAACATTTTCAGTCACTAACTAGTTGCTTGTAGAATTACTTGCGAAGTGTGAATCGGCCCCTCAAATGTAAATTTAATAATCTTTTAGCATGAAATTAATGCAACTCATGCTATCCTGTTTTTTCTACTCTGAAATGGAAAAACTGGCCTTTTTTGTTCTGATGAGCACTCTGAAATATAAATGGCACGCTAACACAGAGACTCCCATGTTGTCTCAGTTTGGTGCTGAATGAAGAATTTTGTAGATGTTGTAGCCTCAAACATTTAAACATACAGTAGAGGGTTTAAAAAAAAAAAAGAAAGTAAAAGGAGAGAGCAAAAGCAGCAAGGCTTTGGGGAGAGTTCTTTAGCTTTACAGAGTCAGCAGAAGTTTGATGAGGCAGAGAACAGCTTTTCCAGGGACCGCGACGGAGAGGGCTTGCCTGCCAGCCATGGTCAGAGCACCCAGCAGGGACGCAGAGGGGAGCAGCTTGGGGCTGGCTGCTGGGTGTTAGCTTCTGCAGCACCACGGCTGGGCTGGGAAGAAGCACGTTTGGGTGCCAAGTTTAAACTGGCTCATTTCTGCCTGATAAAATTGTAAATGTATTTCCAGAGCTATGGCTGTCAAAGCGTCCGCATCTGCAATGCTATTGCATAATGTCACACTTGTTGTAGGGATCAGTTGGAAACCCTGCCAGACTACCTGGAAACCTCGGCACTGGTAGTGAACCTGGGCCTCTCATAGGTAGGGTGAAAAAATGGTGAAAAAATTGGCAGTAAAATAACACCACCTGCCTTGAAATTCACACCATTTACTGTTGCTGGTAATGGGCCAGCTGCAGTCTGGGATGTTTTCAGTGTACATGTTCTGAAAATTATTTGAAAGCTAATCTAGAAGTATTGGAGGTGGATTTTGGAGTAGAAGACGTCAGGAGAGCAAAGTTGCCCACATCTTGTTTTGTAGTTGAAGGGAAGTGAGCTTTAGCAGTTGACTTGCTGATCACGAGAATGTAGCTTTCATGAGCCACCTTAAAGGCTATAAATTTAGATACTCTAAGAAAAGTTGAGGGGGCTGACATAAAAAACTTTTCACAGTAACTGCTTATCGATAGAAGCTTTTGGACCTGATTAATTCTAAAAGAAAATATACTGAGGTATGTTGTAGTACAGAGTGAAAGTTATTTTGAAACCCATCAGAACTAGGAACTGGTGATTCTAGACAGAGGTTTGCAAAGGACCAAAGGGCAGTGGAGCGTATACATCCCTCTGAATTTCCCTCTCATTCCTTGCCTATCAAGCAACCAGGCTTCCAGAATCGGCTGCTTTGTTGCACAGGCAAGGTAGCCTGTAGGATATCAGGCACAAAATAGGTAAGCATGATTTTTAGACATCATTTTGGAGTTCATAACATCCACCTGTAAGGCAGCATAGATTGCATCATCTTGTACTTCTGTGTTACAGAGTATCTGCATGCCTTATCATGAACCATGTTAGGAACGCGAGCGATTTTTTTGCCATTGCACATCCTTTTAATCGCCCCTCTCCTAATCTAGATTTGCAAGCGTGAGAGTATCTTCGGATCTCTGTTCAGCATGTGGATAGGTGGGGATGAGCATGTGGATAGGTGGGGATGGAGTTTGACTGATTTATGGAATGACCAGGGAGAGGACACATGTGATGTTAGACCAGTGTGGGGGGTTTGGAGTCCTCCTCCCCACCCCAGGGCACGTGGAGAAATCCAGATTAGGCATGAGCCGAGTTTTGGGTATCTGGAGTAACGCAGTGGAATAATGAAAGCAGGTGGGTAGGGGAATTCACAAAACAGGAGGGTGAATAACTGTCAATCAACAATCAAGAAAAATCATCTGGATGTTAGCATTGTCTGCAGAAATGGGGGAGGAAAAACCTGAGCATTAGGGAGACCAGAGGAGTTTGTGGGTTATTAAAAAAGCCTACTGCTTGCAAGCCATGTAATGACAAAGCAGTATTCTCCATTTTCATGATGACTACAGTAATGCTTTTGAATTATTTGCCTCTTGGGTTAAATCTGCATATTAATGTCAGAAATGTGCAAGCCTTTTTTCTGACTAAATCCTTTTTCTTTCCACCAATGGATTAAGGCTATTCATGGAAATATACATTTCATTGTGCATTATATCTTGTTGGAGAAATATAAAACTGTTATTTGTAAAAGGGCTGCTGTATTTAAGGCAGATGACTCCATTAATCTTTATAAAATACTCTAACATGACAACATTAATCTTCCTAACTGTTTTAGAGCAATTAAAATCCAGTGGGATAATATGGGTCATCGAGTTTCCACAAAGTTCTGCTCCTGCTTTCATCCCCTCCTTTTCTTCTGCCCTCAGGAGATAACCAGGCTATAACTACAAAAATACCAGCAGCCTCATTCTCTTTTTTGGCAGAGGTGTAAAAGAGCATGATGCCTTTAAGTGGCAAATAAGAAACTGAAAGAGGGAGAAGGACCAAAATGTGTTGTGTAAGTGATGATAAAAGGGAAGAGATGAGGCTAGAGCAGGCGGGACATCATGTGCGAACATAAACCACACTACCATGAGAAAAGCTACTCTATGAGCACAGGAGCAGTGAGGACTCGGATGAGTGATGTGTCCTGAGCTCCACTGATGGGGGTCTACCTGGTTCCCAGCTTTCCCTTTTATAGCAGTGCAAACAGTGCACGCGGTGGGTGGCTGAGCCGATGTCGGGCTGATCAGCCCTGCGGACACCGTGGCTGGCTTGCAGCTGTCTGCTGCCAAGAAGCAAGGCTAACAGCCGACCTCTGCTTGTCTTCCTGGAGGTGTCACCATCCTGTATCCGACTCCCTGAGACGAACAGGAGCTGAGCTGTCTCCCATATTCCTGTCTCACTGTTGAATGCGGGAGAACTGATTTATGTGTTGGGGGAGGGGAGCTGTTGACTGGACCAACAGCACAATCTGTAAAGCTGCTTTGCTCAGGAAACTGAAAGTCTGGTAATGGAGAGAGGGTAGAACCATCCCAGCTCACCTCCCAGGTATCATAACTAACATTCTTCTCTCCTGGTAAGAACAGAAGCGAGAAAAATGCCTGGCATTTAACTGGTGGGATCCTTCTTCGTGATGCTCACCTGGAGCAATGGGTATTTAAATGGTTGAGGAAAAGGACTTTGGAGGGAGGTTATTATTCAGTTGCTAGAGAGCAGTGGGAGTGAAGGGTAACAGGGACAGAAAAAGAAAAAAAAGAAAAACCTGCTGCTAGAATTGCATCAGGCAGTTTACCATCCAAGCTCTAGGGCAGTAAGACAGGAATTTGATATTAATTGTCAATTAGTTGCGTGCCAAGTGGACCCCTTGTCTGTGACTGCGGCAATGGTGCAATATAAATAAAAACAGTAGTAGCAGTGTGATAAAACATTTTTATGGCTAACAACATTGGTTATGAACACTTTCAGTTTGAGAGTTGATGTGTGTCTTTTGAGGAATACTGTTACAAGGAGGAAACCTGCGTTTTTGATGCAGCTACAGTAGCAGGTCATGTAAATTAATAATGGAATTCAGCTGGCATCCCAGCTTGCCAGAGAACAAGAATATTGTTATGTCTTGAGGGTCAAAGATAATATGTCACAGTAACATCTGTTGGTGATGTACAAAATCTGTTCATTTGGTATGTTCAGTGATACATTAAAACTCCTGTGATTATGAAAGAAGCATTACACCAGGTATAACAAGAAGTGTAGATTTAAATTCTTAGAAGATGGATTAGAGTTGATACCTTTTGGCGTGATTAAGAGAGTGATGCCATTCCTGATCTTAAAAACTAGGTAGCTGATTTCTTACAAAGACAGTCATGGGGCCCACATGGGCAAGAGAAATATTAAAACCAAAGTTACATCAGGAGCAAATTGCTGCAAATCCAGTGATTTAAATGGGGTTGTTATGGCTGACAACAAGGACGTGTATGATTTATTTTTGCGTATCTGTGGTTTTTGTGTGTCTGCAAGCATTATAAGCTATGCTTATTGGAAAGGAAGAGGCAGCCATGACTACTACACTTGCTGGCTTAGGGTAGAATCTCCATCTCAGATGGTTGCTGACCGCCAAAAGCTGGAGTGATTGTGGTGCGTCTGTTTTGGTTTTAAGCTTTTCTTAAACCTCTTGTTTTTCACAAAGGATACGTGGTTCACTGAACCTTTGATACAACTCAGTTTATCAATTCTTGTGATATTTTAGGGTGGCATTTGGATATTTTTTTTTACCTGTACATCTTGGCTAGTTTTAAGCGAATCTGAACAGGCCTATTTCATATTGATGGTCTGTGAAACCAGATGTAGGAACAGGTAAAGATGTAATCCCAAACTGGATGATAACTCACAGAAGATCTGTGTGTTCCTTTAGTTAGAAGGAGAAAGAGGTGACACATGGGAAAAGCCTAAAGCCTTTTGCTTGCAGTTTTATTTACTGAATTGGAATAGCAAATTTGAGTTTTATTCTTAAACTTTGCAATGCTACATGCTAATAGTTAATTATTATTTTGCTAGATTTAAATAGCTATTTAATTTTCTTCTAGCAGGGTACATCTAAATTATTCTTCTGGCTATTCAATACTCTAATATAATTAGTTGTGTATGAAAATAACTGTTTTTCCATTTTGCCAAATATTTTTGTGTTGATATGAAGTTACTACAGGGAAATTACTACATATCCAATTCAAAAGCATTGAAATTGGGTGAACTTTCTGCAAATGCTGAGGCAAAGAGCAAAGCACCCCGCATGTCTACAGCCACTGAGAACAGCAGCCAGCATTAACAGATGTCTGACTGCATCCATACAGCCCAGTGTTCTGTCTCCCACAGTGGCCAAACAAGATGCTGTTTAAGCAGAGCTTAGAAAATGCTTTGGGTTAAAGACACTGGGTTTAATATACTTAATCATCAGTGAAGTGAGAGTGAACGTGTCCATGAGAAACAGATGACAATAATACTGATGCAGCTTCTCATGTTTTCTTAGTTTTTAAAGGCATAAACCCTACTGCCCAAACTACTACCTGTGACCACTTCTTTCTTTCTCTGCCTCCTTATGCCTGGGGCTGGCTCTATTCTGTAAAACACACAATAGCATTTTGATCTCTCAAAATGTCTTCTCAAAGTTTACATACTAATTCAGTCTTTACAGTAACACCTGCTTTCTTTGCAGAGTCCTAGAAGTACTACAGTGGAAAAAGATTTAGTCGTTCCTCATGTAGTTGAGTTCTTCAGTGCCTGTCTTCAGTTAATTTAAAGCCCTGATTTGTTTTAAAGATGCCACCAACTGATTTCGTTCAGACCTTTGAACCACTTTCAAATGTTTCATCTTCACTTAGCTGAAATGAATAAATCTGGTGGTGTAAAAGGAAGGGTTTCCTGTCTCCTTTCCCCTTGGCTAGAACCATCCACTTCTTTTGCTACTTCTGCTATTTATAAAGGTAGTGTATCAGCTTTTGAAAGCCGAGCATCTGGGACCTTCTGATCCAAGGGAATTAAAAAGAAATCTGGGAAAGGTCTATAAGTTTGCAGAACTGGAACTCCTTAGATGGTTATAAGCGTGACATGAAAATAAGACCTCCCTGTAGAGAGAAGCAGCCAGTCATGGAGGGCAATGGATCATCGCAGTGGGGAGAGAAACGACTGCTGTGCTTCTCAGTGCCAATAGTGCAGGGGTTTAAAATGTAAAAGGAGTAGAACTGAACATCACACATTGCAAGACTTTGGAGTTTTCCCATCTCCCCGCTAATGCAGAATTTATTTCCCTATTAATTTTGTATAAAATTGTGATTCTTGTTGTACAGAAAAACTGTTAATGGAATAAAATTAAAGATGTGTTGAGTAGCAGGAAAATGTGTTTTTCCAAGAAGACTGAGTGTTGTCTACTCAAAACTATGCATGTATAGAATCACAGAATCACAGAATAGTAGGGGTTGGAAGGGACCCCTGTGGGTCATCTAGTCCAACCCTCCTGCCGAAGCAGGGTCACCTACAGCAGGCTGCACAGGACCTTGTCCAGGAAGGTCTTGAAAATCTCCCGAGAAGGAGACTTCACAACCTCCTTGGGCAGCCTGTTCCAGTGCTCCGTCATCCTCAGAGGGTGCATAGTATTTTCCTAGCATTTCTTGACTTATTGGTAATTTTAAGTATCCATCAAAGTTTTGTAGTGGCATTTACATCTCTGTCCTAATACCAGGCAGGAAAGAGAAAGAAAGCAGGTGTCTATACTTTTCCTGCCTTGTACTCGGTAATTTTGGTAATTGCAGTTTTTTTACTTCCTGGTCCCTCTAGAGATATAGCAAGCTTCCATGTGCAGAAAAGACAGATTGCTTTCGTTTTAGTTGACTGCACCTATATTTTTGACTTGTGTGCCCTACAGTAATGCTGAGGATTCTAAGGACAGGAAAAAGAAAGAAAATTGTGCATGGACCTAATTTAGTGATAAACCAGATACTTAAAAATCTGAGGGAATCTTTTCAAAGAAGAGTACAGTGATATACGTCTGGTCGTTCTCATCTTTATCTGAATTTTTCTTTATCAGTTCTCTAATAATACTGAGGAAAGAGTAATTTAAGCATGAGACATTGACTGTAACATACTATAGGCACACATTGTTCTAATTTCACATTTCCCATTGTAAGCCTTTAAATATATCATATTCATTTTAACAAGCATTTAGCATGTCTTTTAATGATAAGAGGGCAGTGGCACAAGGACAAAACTCAGCAGCTTAAATTCTGGGTTCTGAAGTCCGAATCTGTTAGCTCATTTCTGATTGTAATGCCTGTATGAAAAGATAAATCTCATACTGTTTCTGAGGGATTTAAAAATTCTGACCTCTCCTTTCCCAAGAGAGAGACTGGGCATCAGAATAAATGAATGCTAGGAACTGACTTGACACTCAGAGGTGGTCAGTGTTCATGCCTTAAAAAATCATCCTTCTTGTTGAGCAGAGTCGGGTAGGGCCCATTAAAATGCAATAGAAGTGCTAAATGCCTCTGAAAATCATGGCCCAGAGCTTCAGTTAGCTTCCTGCGCTGCCAGACTGGGAGCCAGGCAGAGCACACAGTGTTGCACATTCGCCAAGGGGATGGAGAAGGATGCTCCAGGGAGGTCGCCGGTTCGTTTATGTGACGTATCCCTCACAATGCTGAAATGCCACCACTTGGCCTTTTCGCCTAACTTTGTAACTTCAAAACCTAAATGGAATCACTGCATTTTAACCATGATTAGTCACTGTCTGGCTTTCTTGACCATCCAAGTCCTTTCTGTGATCCAGTATATTTACTGAAAAATGTGAAGGCCATTTATTTATAGGTAGTACTATGCAAAGCTGTAGATAAGAGAAGAATGGATTTGGCTCTTAGGAGAACTAAATCAACTTATTTACTTAGTAAAAATAACAATTTTAAGTGACCTGCTGTGTAAAGGATTGTTTTTAGAGCTAGCATCCTACTGGGTCACAAAGCCTTGCTGCACGGATATGTGTAACATAATTGTTTCTCTGCAGCCATTCCAAGATGATGAGAATTTTAAACATCTCTTAAAAAGCCAGCCCCTGGGGTATGTTCATAAGATTGTGATTAAAGTATCATCAGCATATACTGTTATCTGTGAAAGAAGGTTGATGGAGATACACCACCTCCATTAAGAGGTGTCCGTTTGTAGTACCCCTTGGAGGAGGTGTGGCGTGGAAAGCTGTTATTATTCACGGTAGAAGAATATCTCAGTAAGTCTTCAATGTGCAGCAATATAATACTAAATGGTATGCTTTTCTGGGGAGATGAGGTGGTTTGCTTACATTTGCCAGGTAAATTCACTCCCATGTCTCCAGTGTTGACAAACAGAAACTGCTCTAGGTAATTCTTTCTAACATTAAATATCTTCAAATGCATTCTTGTCTGTGTGCTAGTAAAAAAAAAGAATTAATATGAACAGTAATAGCTATTCCTTTCAATTGTCTGCCTTGCTTGATTTACCAGACTTACATACATTTTTACATGTTTTTACTTCTCTGTCTAATCTGTCTTCAGCAACGAAGTCTGATACATTGTTAGGCTGCAAAAGTAACCAAGTCGAATAATGTTCACAACTGCTTTGCTATTCAACCCTTTTTGAGATTACACATGGTTTTGACTCTGCAGTGGACCTTAGGCTGTATTATATATAAAATAAGGAGAGATATGGTAGGGTGCCAAAAAATTTATATTCCTGTTGCAGTTTAAGACCGATTGCAGAGATGAGCCAGATCATACCCAGAGCAGAATGGTATCATTGGCAGAAGAATAATGAAGTTGTAGCCCATGTATGTCTCCTGTTTGTGTCATGCATATCCATTTCTATGAAACAAGTCTGTTATAAACGCACATAGTGCCAAGTATCTGGCCTAAAGTACATGTCCTCTCCTTGTAGCATTTCAGACCTTCCTTGGGAAAGATGACGTGTCTCAGGAACTAGAAGAAGTTTTGGCAGAGTCTCGAGTCCAAAGAAACACCAAGTTAGTGTCAATACTTCAGCTCCTGAGAACCCGCGCTGTGCGATGGCAGGTCGTTACTGTGGTCGTCACCATGGGCTGTTACCAGCTTTGTGGGCTAAATGCTGTAAGTGTCCTTCTTCAGGCCATGGCATCTTCTCGGGTGCTCCTTTCTTTCTTTTTAATACAAGCTTTATGTTGTACCATTCAGCAACCTCTAAAACTTTCCATTTTTGGCTGTTTCTTATTAGTGATGTTTTTCTTACACCAGCATATGGGAAGGCCCACAGAGAGCTGTATCAGGTTTGGGGTTTTTTTTAAAAAGCATGTGGGGGGAAGCCATTGTTTTGTTAACTTTGAAAACATGAAAAAGTAGCACAGCTCATCAAAGAAAGAGTGCGCACCTTCTGATACTTCAGTTAAGGTCTGGTCTGATGTGCCATACGATTTGTCTGTTTCATACAATTTGAAGAATAAGCTGTGTTTCAATATGCCTTTCTTGGAAAGTGGAGCAAAAGAGGAAAAAAGGCACAAAACAGTCAGTTGTGAGAAGTCTTATTGACCATCAATGTGTCTGAGGCTAATGGATATCAAAGTTTCATTGTCAGCCATCTGAACCTATTGCATCAGCTAGGAGAGGGTCACAGGAAAATTTAGACTGGAAGGGGTCTTTGGGGTTCATCTGGTCCAACCACTGCCCAGAGCAGGACTGACTTCAGGGTTGGCTTGGGCTACCGAGGGCTTTGTGCAGTTGAGTTTTAAATATCTCCAAGGCTGGAGAGTCCACAACCTCTCTGGGCAACCTGTGCCAGGTGTTTTCACCACTTACACTGTGAAAAGAGTTTTCTTTATATCCAGCCAGAGGTTTGCTTGCTGCAGCTTGTGACATCTGGGTTAGATACTTTACGTTGCACAGCATAAATGTTCTCATGAAGCACCTCAAAGTAAAAGGGGTTTTCGTCATAGTTCAAAGATGTTAATTATTTATACATTCACTGCTGAATGGAGCTCGGCAAATGCATCTTCTCACTGTGGTTTTGTGCATTACAGCATACTTCAGCTAGTTTATTTTCCCCAGGGTTAGTCAGTGATAATAAGTGTAAATGCTTCTGATATCTAAGACAACTAGTTCAGGCTTATCTCGGGTATCTCCATAGCTTTAAAACTCCTAATACAAAGTAATTTGTCCAAGACTATTTGAAAGATTAATGCAGTCAGAACTGTGGTATCAAAAATTTTTTAAGGAAATACTAGGAGGGAGCTGGAAGGTTTTTCGTGCTGTGGGATGAACTATAATAATGTTTGTATAGGTGGTGTTTTCTTATAATTGTAGGATTTCGGTGCTAATGACAGGCTATTTTGTTGCTCACTGTGGATACTTTTTTAAGAAAAGATGTGGAATTATCTTGTCATCCAGTCTTTCTAAGATTTATCAAAGCACAAGTGAAATAAAATGACACAGTAAGAAACAGACTGTTCAGATAATCAAGCACATTGCCTAAAGGAAAAAAAAATAGTGCCAAATCTAAATTTTC